TTATGGCGCCATGACTTTCTATCTCCTTCTCGGGTTTCAGACCTTCCCGTATACTTCCACTTGCTTCTTGGATCCTTGCTAAAGCTGTCTGTTGGGGACGCAGTGTAAAGCGTAGGGTATAATATTGGTGTGAACACGGCGTTCGTGGGCATCATAGATCTATAAATATACAAGCTGTTCGGGTACATAAGTCGGTCTTATATGCTCAGGTGGGGCTTTCAATGTCTGGGGATTTGATCCTTGCGGACCTGTATCTATCTCATGACCTAGGCCTTGGAAGTCCATTTCCCTGCGGAACAAAGGTCGCCCACAAGCCTAGTATTTGTAAGGGCTACTATATATATGTATCCAATCTTGCATATTTGGCCATGAATATATATCATGCCTTACAATAGCGATCGGGATTTCCTTGTTATTACCTTTGAACAGGCCATGATGCTGGCATCGTACCTTCACAAATCAAATGGTCTATATCGACAAGGAGGCACCCACAGGTGGTCATATTAAGGTCTATTGCTTTCTTTCTCTTCAGTACAGTCGTGATTGAAAAGCCGGGTGTCCCAAGGAAATGTAGAAAGATATATAAATCAAAGAATGGGATATAATTGTGATCTATATGCTTGCAGAACCAATTTAAAGATACATGTATAGATGACTTATAGCACATGGGGATTCTCATCCGTCCAATAATAGGCACATTGGCTACTTTATACTGCAACTAGTGCTCAGCCATATCTACATGCCAGGTGAAGCTCAACTACCGAGGCTGCTTGACATGTGTGAGAGTCTAATGCATTGGTCAACACAGGGCTTTCTAAACATTGGCGGAAATGGAAAGAAATTTTATTCATTACTTCTGCGTCAATCGTCAAAGTAATTCCTCGGGTATCGTACGTGCAGTCCCTCAATTTTTTATGTTTATTTCTTGAGTTGTCACACAATTGCCTAAGCCGACTACCAGCTTAGAAGCTGATATCTTCTTTGCGGTAGTGGTCTGAGACAATGCGGTAAAGGTATGATGGCGCATGGCCACCGCTGGAGTAGGGAAAGCAAGGTTAGCATTAGAAATGAGATCAACGAGTGGGATGCGTGGTTGCAACTTACATGTTAGTGATGTAAAGATCGACGAGCTCGGCGGGAACGTAGTCATAGATAGGGTTTTGCACATCGACCAAGTCGACGAGATCACCTTCCTCGTAGGAGAGAACTTTGCTTGGGTCACCGTATTCAATAAGGGAGTCAAAGTCAAATGGATAGACAGGGCTGAGCTTGTAAACACCACTCACGACCACGACAGGGGTCTGGTGGACCTTGGCGGCACGGGCGATGACACGGGTACCAGCTGCGGCGACGAGGCCGCCGTTGGCAAGGACGGAGTGTGTGCCGAGAATGACCTTGTTGACTCGCGACATGATAGCGAAGACGGCAGAGTCTGGGATGAGAATGACGGTGATGCCATGCTCGATCAGTGGCTTCTGGAAAGCCTCCAAGCCGAGATTGTCATCGTCGCTAGCGCTACCACTGACGGTGGCATGTGTAGCTTCGTGATTATTCGGGTACGACTCAGCATGGATGACGGTGAACTTTCGCTTGGTGGCAGCCTTGAGCAGGAACTTTTGGACAGTGGTCGAGGATGTGTGGGTGAGGATGATTTCGTTGGAGTGAATGTGATCCAATGCGTACGCGGCGATTTGGTCGTCCACCTGACCGAGCTCATCAATGATCTCGCCAATACCCTCCAGTACTTCAGCCCGTACATCTTTGCCTGGGCCGTGGCCAGGGAGGCGTCCGCTTGGAGAGGAAGCTCCTGGGGTGCTGGGAAGTGAGTTCTCGGGTTCGGGATGGGAGAGAAGGCTGAACATAGAGGTCAGAGGGGGGCGAGAGGATCTATCTTCGGGCCGGATGGAGGGCGAGTCACGATCCAAAGGCAATGCTGGATCTAAGAATTTATGAGTCATTCCTGTGTATATATTTGGACTAGAAGTTGGGACATACCATCATAAGCTCGGGGTGTCTGTGGCTGACTTTCGGAACCAATGTCACTAAGAGCGAACTCCGCGTCACGATCATCTTCCGCTTCGTCACGAATAAGACCTAGGACTCGGCGCACGATATTGCCCACAACCATCTCGCGCGGTTGCGCAGCCATTAGTCGCCTGCCCACACTCTGCACCCGCTCAATAAGCTTGGCTGAATCTGTTGTGCGGCATGCAGAGATTACGCTCCGTAGCAAATAGGCGGTTGCTGTGGCACATGATCGCGAATGACGGATTTGGCGTCGCTTGAGCAATCTGATATGAAATATACTATATTAGCAAGTTTGTCACTGGAGGTAGCGACTATGGCTGGAAGCTTTGAGATACGCACGAGATTAGAGTCTCAATAGAGGTATCAATGGGGTTCGTCTTGAGGCACTTGAGGAATGACCCCAGGCCCGGCGTCAGAGCCAATGAAGAAGGCATGAGGAAGTGGGATGTTTGGAGGAAATCTGCGCGGTGTCAGCGGGAGTTGAGTAATAGAAGTGTGCAGTGTTTAAGTAAAAACATACCAGGTCTCAAATCCAAATCATACTAATCATGAAAAATATAAAGGGTTGTATCAAAAGATTCTCAGATTCTCACAGAGCCAGAGAGAGTGGGAGAGACAAAGAATGATTTTCTGCCGTTTGATCTTGTCCGCTTCCCCACACTCATTGATCGTTCTATTGTCTCGGCTTCGGCTTTCCTATTGGTGTTATTTCAGTTTTCTTATTGTTTTATTATTTTTTTGGATTGCTTTCAGCTTTGAGCTTGTGGTATAAATCAAATTTGGAGTTGCGGAAATAGCTCCGGAGCACGGGTGACTGGCGCATTGAGGTTAGAACAGCTTACGCCTCCCTGCGCATCCCCCTCTTTCCCTCAGACAGCCCTATTACATCCTCCACTATCTCATGGACCGCTTTAAGTGGGTTTGATGATTTACTCACGATCCGTTTGTCACTAGATCGCTGTGCCCCCGTCTCCCGTGACGCCTTGAGGGAAGATGAACTCGCTGAATATCCTGTCCTCGCGAGTCATTGGCCAATCTTCCAACTCTTCACGCCATAGATCGAAATCTCAAGGCGATAGCAAACGCGCGCCTCTACCGGCGGACTTCTCGAAACTCCGCTCTTATAGCGAGGATAACTTTCGGTCCCTCGATCATAACGAGAAGAGCTACGACGGCGGACCACCGCCTGTGGACGAAGATGGAGAGGATGTGGCATATGGCTTAGATGAGAAGACACCGCTACTACAGGAAGCTCACAAGAATGGCACACTCACTGCTCGAAGTACTTGGCGACTAATTACCCAACGGTTTTTTGATGCGATCACGGAAACGCTCAAGTTCATTCTGTCTACATTTGCTGCACCCGGTGTGTATTTGGCTCAATGCTTTCAGGCTGACGATGGTCGATATTCGCTTCTTGCACCTGTTCGGAAACTGCGACGCTCCTCCGCCGCCCCAACCATCCGGTCGGATAAAGGGGCCACCCGGATAGAAGGTCGGCGTCGCAGTGGCTCCACCCGGAAGCTCCGACCTCAAGGCTCTCACGAATCCATTATATCGACAACATCAGAATCCGAGACAGATCGACGGCATATCAAGAATCTCTCAAGTGGGAGGAACCGACCCACCAAGACGAAAAGCCACGATCCAGGTCCAATACCAGAAGGGGAAGAGCACACGCCCCGTCGGTCTATACGCATCAAGCTCCATAATGAAGAATCTCTCAAGCGGCAGAGACACCGAAGATCCCAAAGTTCAGATTTAGGACATCCAATGCCCGAGGGTGTCTCTCGAGTTCAGGGTGCTGTCCACCTGGACAGTTTGAAGTCCCCAACATCTCCCAACATCCATCGCATTACAAAGTACCCACACTCTCCAACTCCACCGCGCCCACTTCTCCCGCCCCGAGTACCTTCATATACTGCGGCACCCCGCAATGCCCGACCCCCGCAAAAGACTTTGGTGCTAGATCTCGATGAGACCCTGATCCACTCGCTCGCCAAGGGTGGCCGGATGTCCAGTGGTCACATGGTCGAGGTTAAGCTCTCGATACCCACGACTACTTCATTGTCCCCGGGCGGACCGCAAACGACACTGGGCCCTCAGCATCCCATTCTGTATTACGTCCATAAACGGCCACACTGCGATGAGTTCCTGCGCAAGGTTAGCAAGTGGTACAAACTCGTCATTTTCACGGCCAGTGTTCAAGAGTACGCTGATCCTGTCATCGACTGGCTGGAGTCGGAACGGAAATACTTCCAAGGCCGTTTATACCGACAGCATTGCACATTCCGCAACGGGGCATACATCAAGGACCTGAGTTCTGTGGAACCCGATCTGAGTAAGGTGATGATTCTGGACAACAGCCCGATGAGCTATATCTTCCACGAAGGTAATAGTTACCTTTATCTATCGTTGTGCGCTCGAACTAATAATCATTGGCAGATAATGCGATTCCCATCGAAGGTTGGATCAACGACCCTACTGACAACGGTCTGCTCCACTTGATTCCCATGCTCGAAGCTTTACAATCTGTCACGGACGTCCGGGCTTTATTGGCACTTCGCCGCGGCGAAATCGAGTCATGATCGTTTTCCGCATTTGCGTTCACGAATGCGCATGTAGGTGTATAAGGGGTTTGTGTTTAGAACCGATGTCCAACCTTTCAAAATGAAAATAGAAAAAAAAAGATATCACGGAGCAACGGAGGGAATTGGGGACCAACACGATCATGCAAGCGCAGTTATTCATAATAGCATTCAGTGTCTAGTTTTGTTGCTAGGAATGGAATGGAAATCCGTACATATGACCTTACTATATGCCCCTGCTCAAAGAAGCCTTTTGGATGTTGTTCATACCTTTAGCCAATAGAATAATCTCGAAACAGAAATTGGCTCGACTGCTTTTGTGCGAGAAGAACTAGATAATCCTTAAAAATAGCCATTCAGCACAACATACAATAAGACAATGTCCTAAAACTCCACAGAAAGCGCCATAATCTTCCCACCCCTGGTACTCGTGCCATGAACAGGAAGCTTGGTCTCCCCTCCAGTAGTGATATAAAGAACATTGCTATCTCTCTGTGTCCTCCCAAAAGCCGCCGACGTAGCAGTCATCAAATCGGTCGAGCCCTTCGAGCCCGCAATAACCTTATGATGTCCATTAGGAAAGACCCTGATAACCACATCATCAATAAGACCCGCCAAATATGCAACTCCATGCGGACCGATAGCAAAGTCATCAGCCCGTGTATCATTGCTGATAACCTCGTAAGCCCCCAAGGCACGACCGGTATGTGTATCAATTCTGACACGACAGAAAATCCGCTTCGGGCTGTTGGTGTAGTACATATAGTCGTTTACAATCTTCAACCCGTTGACCCCAAGCAATAACCCCATATCATTATTTGCGGCCATTGTCTCATGTTGGTGGATCACGCTGTAGCTACCAGTGCGGATATCGAGATACCATATAACGCCGAGTTCGGAGTCGGTGATGGCGACTGCATTTCCTTCATCTAGAGCGGCGATGCCATTCAAATAGCTAGCGGGGAGTTTCGCGATAAGGGTTGATTTGGCAGGTCCGTGATTTCTGAGATCGATTGTCCAAACTGAATTGGATGCAATGACTGCATAGATATCTGGTGAAAGCTCCGTAATGCCATCTGCATCTTCGGCGCCGTCGAAGTGATGGACCAGATGGGCTGAGCTGGGATCTGATGGGATGGACGGGTCAATTTCCCATAGCTCTGCTGTGCTTAGCACCGCGACGAGGAGGTTGCCGTTAGGTCGGACTGCGATGTTCTCGACCCAGGTTCCGTTGGGGAATCTGTGGATTTCGCGAAGATTTGGGGAGTGGGCGAGGCATAGAGTTTGGATGAATGTAAGGAGTAGTAATAGGGATTCTAGAAGATTAGCCATCTGTGGAGGATGTCGTATAACGTTCTGAAGCACCCGTCGAGATGGGAGTCTTTGTCATTTAAAAAATTGGCCGATGTGCTGGGTCATTTTGTACTTAGTTGGTTTCCTTGGAAACCGAGTGGTGTAGTATGCACATGGATTCAGTAGTACCCAAGTATTGGTAAGCAGAAAGCCAGACCTTCCAAGGTTGGAATATTGTACTCCGTACTCCATACTGCACCGATAAGTATTCTGAAGCTTCAGGTGGGACTATGCAGAATTGCAAACGAACCCAACCCAATAAAGGGTATATAAGCCGAAATACTAAATAGAGGTCTTGGTTGACCGACATGATCTAGAACCACTGATTTACCTGTGTCTCACCTCGTTTATGTCCCATAAAATTTATTCTATCAATAGATCAAATATCGTAGATTTCCACACTTGATAAATTCCGATATTGTCTAGGCTCCTAGATTACAGAATCCTCGGAATTGGACTATAAAGTCCGCAGTCAAAAGGATGCCAAGGTTCATCTGCGCGGGTGGATGTAAGCCATCCCTTGGCGTCAGCACCACCCGTATGCGGCGTGCTTGGTAATACGCCTGGTCTTGGCTGCCAATCTTACCTCCTTGGAGGATGTGTATGTTGTTGTACAAGGTTCTTGGTAATACGATCTTGGCTGCATTACTGTTGTAGCGGGGTAGAGACCCAATTTTACCACTAACACTCTAGCTACTGCAGCATCAAAATAGCAGGTGTAGGAATTAGATTTTAGGTACACTCCGTATAAGGTGGATATCATTGCAAAGAAGCGGAATTCTCAGCTGTTCGGATTTAAGGATTTAAAGCCTTCAATTTATGCTTCATGCTTACTGAGTGGGGCTAGAATATTAGAATTTGATTGGTGAACCAAGCTGAGCTACCAATGATCAAAGGCTAAAAGATCACGTTCGGATCCACTTCAATAGTACAGGCAATAAGGTTGACCACGTACTCCGTACAGTAAGCAGTCTGTATGATAGTTCCAACGGCTAACAAACAGTTTAATTAGGGGCTGTGCTCGTATCCAAACCATGGAGTGTACGAGATTTCAGCCTCTCCCCCACTACTAGGACCTACGTAGCGCCGTTTCTGTAAGGTTACATCTTACTATCTACAACAAGTCACCCTCATGGTACATTTAATTGGGTCTGGGATAAGGTAATAGAAAATTGTGCAAAAATTGGCGACATATACAGAGAACGCAGGTCCTTCGTTTTCTCTGATTGATTTTTCGCTATTGCGAATAACCTATACTCGAGCTTGAGTATATAACGATGTCAATTCTCAGGGCTTCCGCGTACCAACGTCGTGCCAGAGACCAAAGGCTGCGATTTACTGAGAATGGAACTTTCCAAATCTCAGTTTTTAATGATTTGCACTTTGCTGAAGGTACCATGAGAAATTCCAACCATTGTTCCAGTATGCTAGTTTCTAACTATATTAAAGATGATGAAGCGGACGAAAACACCTCGGAGGTAATGAACTCCGTTCTTTCTTCAGAGAAAGTGCAACTTGTGGTACTCAATGGAGATTTAATTTCCGGAGAAGCAACACAAAGATCGAACTCTAGTCTCTACGTTGATCGGATTGTTGCACCACTAGTCGACCGTGGTTTACCATGGGCATCGACTTATGGGAATCATGACAGCGAGGTTAATCTGGACCCCGAAGAAATCTTTCATCAAGAGACAAAATATGAAAACAGCTTGACCCAGAGAAGGGTTCAGAATTCCTCTGCCGGCATCACGAACTATTACCTGCCTGTATTTCCGCCTCCGAGTTCAAATGATAATACACCCGTGTTTATATTATGGTTTTTCGACAGTCAAGGCGGTCATTATGCTACGACAGAGAATGGAGATGGCAAATCAAGACCGAGAAAGAATTGGGTAGATGACAGCGTAAGTACCACGTTGATGAAACTTCGAGATTTTCACATCTCCTACGCTTGATCTAGGGATTTGAGGCTGTGTGAAAGCATACTAACTTGTTACAGGTTGTTGAATGGTTTCAAAAAGCCAATGCAAACTTGACATCTACCTACGGACAAAAAATCCCGTCTTTAGCTTTCGTCCATATCCCAGTTCATGCAATGCGCGCATTTCAAAAATCTGGTGTTAGCCCAATCAACGAGCCAGGAATCAACGGAGAACGAGTCCAAGAACAAGGCTATGACGCCGAGTCCGGCTACCATTCTCAGGATTTCCCATTTATAAGCGCTCTGCTGAACACCACGGGGCTGGCGGCGACTTTCAGTGGACATGATCACGATAATGACTGGTATGGACCACGCTATGCTCTATGTTCTGTTCTCGGTTCCAAGTCAACCCGTAAAAAGATGTCATTTGTCTAATCGTTTTCTTCTAATAGGTGCTTCAAATGGGATAGTAAACTGTCTGGCCTCAATTTTACGGGAAATGGCATGAACATGTGCTACGGCCGGCATACGGGCTATGGAGGATATGGCGACTGGGCACGTGGTGGAAGGCAGATTTTTTTAGATCAGCGGTCGCTTGGGGATGATATTCGGACTTGGATTCGGATGGAAGATGGGTCAATTTCAGGTGATGTGAATCTCAATGCAACGTATGGTCATGATCAATATGGGTTGTCTGAGAGGAGGGGTATCAACGGGCAAAAGGTCATCAACGGGCAAAATGGTGGTCTTTCTCCTGATTACTTGGGTATTATTTCTTTGTGGATATTTTTATTTTCTGGGTTCATATCTGGCTTTCACTTATGATAAATGAATGGGTTGATTTTGTCAATGGAAGTGCAAGGACTATAGGTCTGTTAAGTTGCGAGACTGGTTGTAGTTCGCTCTCAGGGAATGTTGTGAGCATGTAGAACTTGTTGATTTACCTTGCCTCGTAGATGACTGACAGGGTCCCAAACATTGAGTGGGAGCACAATGTGAGAAAAATATACATTTTACCAAGCTGTGAGATTGAGAGGCAGCTATTGGCGTCGATGTGGGGCTGAATGGCTGTTATTGGATGTTGTGTATTGTGCCTGCCTCAGCTGTTGAGATAGAAGATTGTTATTTGGCAATGTGTGTTGTTCTCTGTGTTATCATAACTCAGGGGCCTGCAGCGAAGACAATAGCACATCGGTAAGTGTTCGCCCCTCACATAAAGCTGCAAATTGTGGCTTATCCCCACTATCGCAGCAATTTTGGGTCTGGAAGGGTTCACAATCATCAGGATGCCGTGAGCCTCAGGAGCAAAGGATGTATATTGTCCTTCGTACTTCGTATATATATATATTATCTGGAGTTGATTAAATGTAGACCCCTGGTGTTAGTGGAGTCGAAACACACAGCCCTCTTTTTGATAGAAAAAGAACTTTCCCGCCTCTGACGTCAGTGACCCCTGGGGACCCACTATTTCTGCCCCAGGCCCTGATTACCAAATACAGCAAAACAGAGAAAATATTGGGAAAATATCAAGACTAAGTCAATTATTATTGAAGAAAGAATTACGTAGAATGTTAATCAGTTAGACCTCTAGAAAATTAAATTCTACAGTAAGATAATTGAATATGAAAAAGCCAAGTCTAGTTCGGATCCGTGGAATTGCTTGTCTCGTCTTTACACGCGTTTTATGGCTTGGCAAGTGGACCCTTAAGCCCTAGGAACAAGAGGACCATCCGGCATCTATCGCTTTTATTCATCAAGACCTTGATAATTTGGCATGCAGATTCTTAATCCTCTAATCAACCTTTAAATGTACAACATATGTTGTACGAATACAAACAACATCGGCTTATACTGGGCCGGTGGCGAACATGATAGATCTACTGGTTGATCATCGGTCAAGTCTTTCGCAAAATCAACCAAAAGCTTGCAATTTCTCTTAACCCCACAGAAAAGTGGATTATGCCCTGAAAACTATTTTTAATTAAGAACTTTGGTTTGGGGGTCTTTGCCCATACATCATTGCGCATCCCCAACCCCCAAACACCTTTCAAGATCTCCCCAAACTTTCACCTCGACCATTTTTTCGTTTAGATCGATACTATCTATGATTGATTCAAGTCCGAAATGCACTTGTCCGGAACATGGTCCATCCTGAATGGCCTCATTGCAACACTTCTCTTTTCAACATTAACGCCTGCGATCGAATTAGACCTCAGCAATGAACGTACGTCATGGCGACACGAATTTATTTTCCGATAAAAGTTGGCATAGGACTGACTTTTTGTGATCAATGGACAGAATCGATCAAAGATGCCGCGAGTACGAGTACCTACTCCATGATGGGGTGGTATGCTGGCAATGAAACTGGCCAAATCCCTGGTTCTTTCCCTGAAAAATGGTGGGAAGGGTCTGCTCTTTTCCTTGCACTGCTTCAATACTGGCATTTCACGGGTGACGACTCTTATAACTCTTTGATGAGCGAGGGAATGCAGTGGCAGTCGGGCGACAAGGGTGACTACATGCCCAGCAACTACAGTAGTTACCTGGTGAGAACCACGCGCCGATCCAGAAATACTGCCCAAGGATAGCTCTCTGATTATTCTTGAGTTTCTAGGGAAATGACGATCAAATGTTCTGGGGTCTCGCAGCTATGATGGCCGCTGAGCTGAAATTCCCTGATGTCCCGGACAAATTCTCATGGCTTTCACTCGCTCAGGGTGTATTTAACACTCAGACCGCTCGATGGGATACAACAACATGTGGTGGTGGTCTGCGTTGGCAGCTCTTCCCTTACCAGGACGGATACACCATGAAGAACGCCGTATCAAACGGTGGTCTATTCCAACTCGCCGCTCGTCTCGCCCGCTACACGAATGACGACAAGTACTCAAAATGGGCCGAGAAGATCTGGGACTGGTCTACTTCCTCGCCCCTGGTGAACAAAAAGACTTGGAACGTTGCGGACTCGACGCAAATGGCCAATGACTGCGCGGACGCTGGTAACTACCAGTGGACCTACAACTACGGCACATACCTGATGGGTGCTGCCTACATGTATAACTATGTGAGTGGGACCTCGATATTCTCCATATACCCATTCTGCGTGATCAATCCTTCTATCTACAGGCACTAACATCCACCTGTACAGACGAATGGAGACGAGAAGTGGAAGACCCCAGTAGACGGTCTCCTCGGCCGCACCCTGAAAACCTTTTTCCCTCACGGCGACGTCTTTGAAGATACAACCTGCGAACCGATCAAACGGTGCAATTTCAACGAAATCCTTTTCAAGGGCCTCACCTCCTCGTGGCTCGCATTCACCGCACTCCTAGTCCCGGATACCGCAGCGTTGATCAAACCCAAACTCGCAAGTTCCGCACAAGCCGCCGCAAAGTCCTGCACGGGAAACAACAACAACTCATGCGGTATCGCATGGTATCAAAACAAGTGGGACGGGACAACTGGTATGGAGCAAGAGATCAGCGCAACGAATGTCTTCCTTGCGAATATGATCAACTTCGATACCGGCACTTTCGGACCCGTCACCTCCAAGACAGGTGGAAACAGCAGCAGTGATCCCAATGCGGGTGAAGGGCGCGGGGATGAAGACAAGGAGAAGCCTATTACGACTGGCGATAAGGCCGGTGCCAGTATTTTGACGTTGATCTTCGTCTTTGGCTGGGCTGGGGCTATGGCCTGGATGATGCTAGGTACTTAACCTGTATATTTTATTTTTCATTGGCATTTCGGGAGAATGGAGTTTGGAGGATTCGATGATGTTTGTACATACTATCTTGAAATATTTTTATTCGGTGAAATAGGATACCTGTCTATATTCAAGTAATGATGTAAGATCTTGGATGAACTAACTTGACGAAATATGCGCGATAAGAGTGCTGTTTGCGAGCACAGAAACAAAGGCTCATATCACATAGTCTGACAAATTTTGATCCCGAATGAGCGACGCCAGGTTGTTATATCGACCTGTCCAACATCCTGGTATCACGGCACCACCAGAAAGACCATAGACCGAAGGATACTTTTGAGATGAAAAAGAGAGTATCTACTCTTTTTTTGTATTCATTACTCTCTGCCAGAGATTTGAATGGCCCAGGCGACTTATAGGGCCAGTGACCGGTCATTATTATATAAAAGACTGACCCAAGACTGAATATGTCAACAGCTACAGTTGACAGCCATGGCTTGCATGGATTGAAACATCCCGATTCAGGAGATGTCTACCGTTGCTGTTACTGTATCCCCAGATTTACAAATTACGAGAGTAAAGAAGAAAGCTTTGCGTGGACAAAACGGTCGGCCTTTGCATTCGCATCACAATATGGGGAAAACCCTATAGGGCCAAAAACCCAAATCAAGGCTTCCATGTAATACTAATTGAAGATCTCAACTCGTGCATGTTTCCTTCTCATAAGACCAACTCCTATTCGTCCAAAACTTCCAAAACTTCCAAACGGTTTCCAAACGATTTCCAAATTCTGTTAAATCCGTCATATGTTAGTAGAAAGGTAGAATGATCAGGACTTGGGTCCTTACCGTATCCTTCAATGACCAAAGAGTGATCCCCACTATCGTATATAGATTAGTATTGTCTGATCAGGTATTTGCATGGGTATAGTTCACTCACTAATTTTCTAATCGTCGAACTCTTGGCGATGGGGTGGTTATAGACCGTGGTCTCTGCATTGTTTAGTTCACCTACCACCTTTCCGTAGTAGTTTTGTTAGTTATAGCCTAATAACATCTTGAGTATGCAGATATTGCATTAGACCTGTACTCACATTCTAGATCGAGAGTTCGTTAGTTCTCTAGCCTCATATTGGATTCGAACACACTCACCACCTGTTTATTAAATACGTGTGAGCCGTGCGCGGTAGTAATTTCCTAGCTTGTATGAACAGAAATAACTCACAACCTGAATAGTCAGCATATGCAAACACTGAAGGATTGTTGATACCACTTACTCCCTGATATTCGTAAGTTCCGTCAGTCCCGTATACCAGAAGTATTCCATAAAGACCGAAGATAGTGACTCACGTCCTATATGAGAAACCGTTGTCAGTTATATCCTTATATCAACTAGGCATCAGAGAAATTACTCACTTCCTGTTGATCGTATGAATCATGAGTACGCTGTCAAAGCAGATATTCCAGAAATGCTGGTACCAGCACTTACCAGCTATTGATTCCGCTTTGTCAGTTGAAGCCCCAAATTACATCAGTAAATGCTGGCTACTTACTTGCTGTTTTCGGCAAATATTAGTTCCGTGATAAGGTAGCAGTTGTAGTATCACTTGAGATCGTGACTTACATCCTAGGATTTGGCACAAATGTTAGCAATGTGTTCAATAGAACCTTTTATTTCCATAAACACTTACAAGCTGTTCAAAGCAGTCTTGTCAGGACATTATTCCAGTAATTCGAAAAAATGGCGGGCTATAACTCACAACCTATAGTTCCAATGCTGTTAGTTCTATATTTCAAAATGGTAATATGTAGACTTCGGTTTACTTACACTCTTTTTAGGTTCATTGTAAGCACTCAACATCGCGTTGAGCATCGCTTCATGCTTCATCTCACTCACATCCTGATCTGTGTTAGCAAAAAGGCCATAGATTCACGAAGTAGCCAATCCCGAATAACTTACTAACTGTTGGGGTACAACATCATATAATTAGCCTTCTATCCTAGAAGTTGTGATTAGGCAACTTTTCACTCACAGCCTAACAATTTCAAACGATGTCAGCTTATGTCTTGTTAGATATCCAAGTTCAATTGGTGACTTACGGGCTTTTCCATGATCGAGTTAGTTTCTAGATAGTCAAATAAAATCTTGATAGGAGAGCCTGTTCACTCACAACCTAGACGTATCCAAATTTGTGAGCATGGTTTCAGCTATGCAACAGTTGTAATACCCACAAGCTATTTTCTGTCAGCGTTGTTCACATAAAAATACACATTCCAGCGATCCCTCCGTCTGGAACAATGGAACTCACCTCGTATTCTGTTTCCGTCACACCGCGTGAAGTCGTTATAGTCGGAGCGGCGAGCGCAAAGCTGAAGAGCAGCATAATCATGAAGACAATGAGCTGCATATCTGCGGTTATAGGTTACGGATTATCTGTGATGTGTTAGAAAATACCAAGAGAAAAAGCTGTCGTAAGGCTGTCGTAAAGCCGTCGTAAGTTGTCGTAAGTTGTCGATGAGTTGTAGATACGACTAACTCGAAGTGGTCTTGCATTCTCTTTAAATATTATTTGTTTACTATATTTCAATCAAAACAATAACAGTCTACCCCTTAATGTGGCTTACATCGAGGTCTAGAGTAGACAAATAGAACCAGAGGATAAACGCCATCAGGCTTTGGCTTACACATTTTTGAACGTTTAACGTGGTGTGCTGACACTGAAATGCTAGAGCTGTCCTTTTCAGCCCTAGATTTGAAAACAAGCATATTTAGTATATTTGATCTTGGGGCATTCCTCAAAACCTAATATTGGACGAACATTCCAACGGCTACTACTTCCATCAGTGTATCTGAGGATATCCTTAGATGCATTCCAGACTCATCTAAGGTTGAAAGAAGCGATTAGTTCAACCACGCCTACTGATCTACGCTTTCAGCTAGTATGAAGTTGCTAAATACTGAGTTACTAGAGCTCGCTCAAAATAAATGCCTTCCTAGCTTCTCGGCTTGATTAAGCAACATGGGCCGTCAGATTTAAGTAAGGGCGTGATAGTGAGACTTTAGGAAAGAAGAAAGCATAAAATTAGGGAAATGGCTATAAAGCGTGTTTTAACTTGCCAGGGAAGCAGAGTAGTAGTAACAGCGTCTAACATAGTCCAAAAAATAATGGAGGAGGTGGCGTCTTAAAAGAATTTCACTCGGGTCAGAGTAACCGAGGGATGCGTTTGCGTTGCTAGGTATAGTGAGTGTTGGTAGGTAACCATGCCAACACTACAAAAGCCCCGAGCTGGTCTATCGGCATCTCTCAATAAATCATTTTTGAACAGAGACTGAGATTCTCACCGACATGCTCAATAGCGCCCTTGATCCTTGATACGGGGTGACATAATTCGTATGTAGTTCCCCGAGGTCCCGAGTATATCCATTCAACAAACTGGATATTGAAAACATGGAAGCGGCCCAGTATCCTCAAAAAGATCTGCCTCATCATGCGCAACACCCGTACTATTTAGTAGGAGACAAGAACTCGGCAACTTTCTCTGCCACCCCCCAGCTAATCTTGTATCCACTTGCGCCGGCACCGTAACAAGAGATCACCGGAACATGGCCGTCATTAAGAGCCACAGATGACCCCAAGACAAGGTTGAGTCCACCACGTCTCATGGGTCGCCGAGCAACGTATACCTGCTTGACATCGAACCCATTTGTCGAAGCCAGTTCATCCGCCTGCTCGTCAATCATCTCGGGGCATAGATCTCTCACCCTCTTCAGAACGTCTTTCGTTGAAGCATCGTCAATATCCTCAGACCTAACGACTATTAGCGTCACTCCAACTTTGGGTGATAACTCAAATCATACCAGTTATTAGGCTCCTTCGTCCCACCAATAACAGTCCCACCACCGAGAGGCCGGGGTATGATGACCGTAGAGGAGCCATCGCTCCAATGATGACTGATAGTTTTCTCACAGTGATTGGAGACGATAATGAACTGACCACGTGAGGGGAAAGATTCCGGATCATTAAACCCCCTGCCACTTGCATCGACAACAGCCGAAACATGATCGCTCTCATCCTGGGATTTAGTCTCCAGATAGACAGACACGGCCTGTTCCAGGTCCGTCAAATGAGCTCGAATAAAACCAGTCCCTTGCGCCTCAGCCCGTGTCTGTAACCATTTCAAATACACCGGCGAGTTCAGGACCCAGCAACGGTAGGTAACACCTAATTGGATCGATGGATATTGAGATGGGTACTGCGCAGGGTCGATGATATGAAAGTCCGGCCATGTGGTGTAGCCATTTTCTTCGTTCAGGAACGAGGTCGCGTCGGTAGTGTCAAAATATTCGACTGCAGGAATGAAATCTACGCCGGCTTCAGGGTGGTTTTTCGCAATCTTCTCGAATTCTTGGTAGGAATGTCTCATCCAGGCCTGTTCCTTTCGTTCTTCGTCTGTTTTTGCGGGGGTGGGGCGGAAATGTGCCCCTGCCCATGGGGAGGCATAGTCAATTCCAACGTCTCCGGGTAACTCCCTTGCGATGATGGTGACTTTCATGTGTTTGGATAGTTTGACTGCGATGCTGAGACCGATGACGCCGGCTCTGTTGAAGTATCGTTAGATAAAAATAATAGGATGAGCTTTGCTCCCTTACCCGACGATGATAACATGGTCTTGGCCCATGATTTATTTTGGTCTGTTGTTCTAAGCTATAATGGTTTGTGAATCTGAATCTGAGTTACTATTTATGTTCAATGAGTCACCTAAATTCTTGAGGCTCTAGGGCTGACACGGGAAGTTCACACCGAACAGTCATATTGGGGAAGACCATAGTAACCGAGGAGAGATGGCGATGATTGGATAAATTCACATGTACATCTTTATTAAATTTTGTATTGTTGCATAGAATGGCTTTGTTATGGACTGTGTGATCGTGGCTTCGAGGGAGCTGTGTGACATAGTTTAAAACATAGAAAATGAGAAAAAATAGCTCAGAAATGAGATTCTAGTCTAAAGATGGCCTTTGTAACAGTATATTCAGTCTCTACTCTCATGTATGTAGTGTAGTAACTGTAGTAACTTCCGAGGTGAAGAACATCACAAACCCCGCGTGAAAGCGGTGAAGGATCAATTTATTTTGTCCCCAAATCTATCAAATCCACTTCTCCCGACACGCCACAGCTCTCCCAGATATGGTTGTGACTACACGGACAGACAGACATCATGTCACCGTAAACGGCAGTGAAAGGGATGTAGATGAGACTACAGCCCTTATAGGGTCCAGCAAGATCAAGTATGCTGGTGACACACCAGACATTTCGGGTGGTTCATCAGGGTCATCTAGCGACAGCGACGAGGAGGAAAAACCCTTGCCCAAGCTGCAGATTTTGCTACTCTGCTATGCACGCGCAATAGAGCCCCTGGCCTTTTTCTCTATCTTCCCCTATGTCAGTCAGATGGTACAGGAAAACGGAGGCTTGGCAGACACGGACGTTGGCTTCTACAGTGGACTCATCGAGTCAATGTTCTCCCTAACACAGGCCATTGTCATGATATTATGGGGCCGGGCAGCAGATTACCTCGGCCGCAAGCCGGTCCTAGTCTCCTCCTTGTTCGGAGTGACCGTGGCGACTGGCCTCTTTGGCTTGGCAAGAACCATACCACAGATGATCATGTTTAGGTGTCTTGCTGGTGTCTTTGCTGGAACCATCGTCACAATTCGCACCATGGTAGCCGAGCACAGCACACCCAGTACCCAGGCCCGGGCGTTCAGCTGGTTCGCCTTTAGCGGGAACGTGGGAATGTTACTGGGACCTTTACTGGGCGGTGCACTTGCTGACCCGGTACGACAGTACCCTGGTGTTTTTGGGGCTTTCAGCTTCTTCGAAAAATATCCTTACGCCCTCTCGAGCTTGGTGGTAGCGATGGTGGGAGCCACCGCTGCCCTGTCTAGCGCCTTCTTTGTTGAGGAGACGTTAAAGAAGGAGTCAGTTGTGGTGGGCCGTGATGGCGAGGCAGCATGCGATGCGCCAGCCCAGAGTGGTGACCTATCGACACGGCAGCTTCTCAAGTCGCGGGGTGTTGGTATGGTCTTGTACATTTACGGGCATATCATGGTCCTTGCCTTCGCTTACACGGCCATTATTCCCCTCTTTTGGTTCACTCCCATAGAGCTCGGAGGGTATAACTTCACACCTCTACAGATTTCGATGATGATGGGTCTAAACGGCGCCGCACAAGCTGCATGGCTCCTCTTGGTGTTCCCCCCATTGCAGAAGAAGATCGGGTCCAATGGAGTGATACGTCTCTGCGCTTACGCCTATCCGTTCTTCTTCCTATGCTGTCCTCTTGGCAATTTGCTTCTGCGGAGGGGCACAGATGCATCTGTTAAAGCCTTTTGGATTCTCTTACCCATCACCCTAGCAATCGGCTGCGGAGTCAGCATGAGCTTCACGGCGATCCAGCTCGCCCTGAATGACGTTGCACCCTCGCCGAGGGTGCTGGGCACACTGAATGCGCTGGCCTTAACCAGTGTTAGTACACTGAGAGCCTTTTGCCCTGCTCTCTTCAACAGTCTCTTCGCTCTGGGGGCAAGGACACAGCTGGCAGGTGGCCATGCCATCTGGATACTCATGCTCATACTTGCATCAGGCTTACCAATTACAGCAAAATACCTGCCAGAGCCCCAGGCAGCTGTCAAGCGCCGGAACAGCCAGGTTACTTGATGCGGTTCCGATTGGCCGATCTCACAGCATGATCAAGACTGGCCTAAAGCTCTTTTGGGTGAGCCACATTAATGATACAAAAAACTCCTGAAAATCGTTTCATGTGGTAAGTTCAATTGCTGTACATACATGAACCTATGTGAATAGGAAAAGCAGGCGAAAGACACGGCTTATGCCGAGTACATTTTCATTTTTGAATCCAAAAAAAAAAAAGAAAAAAAAAAAAAGATTTTGGCTCAGATTTGTCATTTAGCCAGATCAAAATTCTATTTCGGTATATATCACTCAATACATCTTTTCGGAACTTTCCTGTTACACTAGTTATTGGTTTGTACACAGATTTATATGAGAACTTGTGCAAGGAGTAAGCATCTTTACACGCATATCACAATTTCAGACCCTGGTAGACTCAACCGAAGATCATTCACAAAGCAAACCCCCTTACCCTAGCTATCAGACTATTCAATAGATCCTGACCTGAGCTTACGACTATTTTTTAGATCCTCGTCACCCACGCCGATCCTCGTCGATCATGATGCACATAAGGCCAAACAATGTTTTTCTTCCAGAATGCAGGGGCAAGGAATTCAGCCCAATGACAGTGCTATCACTACAAATTTCCATGCATTTACTTCCATTTGGGAACCGATTCATTCTCAGCCATACTAGTCACTCGGCGCCTCCCGTACAACGCCATAACGCCAAAAAGCCACAATGTCGACATATGAGAAAGTGATAATGGTAGATTTCGACGGCGACCATCCCCAAGACTGGCCCGCAACACGAAAATGGACCATTATGGCGACCATCGCAATCCCACTGTTCCTCATGCCTTTATCATCGACTATCACAACACCAACAGTCAATGCAATTGCGGATGAATTTCACACGACATCTACTATCACAGGCCCACTGGCACTATCATTGTTCCTGCTCATGTACTCCATGGGACCCATCTTACTCGGCCCATTCAGTGAACTATACGGCCGATGGCCAGTGTTGCAGATCGGAAGTTTCTTCTACCTGGCCTTCAATCTCGGCGCTGGATTCTGCACAAGCATGACCCAGCTGTTAATATTCCGATTATTGAGCGGAATAGGAGCAAGTGCATCATTGGCTGTAAGTTCCGATTTTGCTTTCATGGACGAGATTAGTCCGAGACTAACAATCTGCCAGGTTGGCGCTAGTATGGTGGGCGATGTGTTTCGCAAAGAAGAGCGTGGACTCCCCGTCGCTCTAATCAGTCTCGGCCCAGTACTGGGATCATGTCTTGGTCCCATTGTCGGCGGGTTCATCGCAGAGTACACCACATGGCGGTGGACGTTCTGGTCCACCTCTCTAGCCACGGGTGCATTTCTAGTGCAGTGTTTGATTGTTGCGCGAGAGACATATGCACCTGTTATACTGCTGCGGAAGAAAGCAGCTCTAATCGCAGAAGCAATCAGACAGGGCAAATACGATGGCCGTGTCTGGAAGACGCCTTTTGAAAAAGATGAGACAGTCGGCCAGCTGTACCGACGCACTATTTCCCGGTCCTTGTACTTTCTCGGCACGCAGCCAATTATCCAAGCACTGGCTTGCTACTACGGTTATCTTTATGGAATTGTCTATCTCCTTCTTTCTAGCTTCTCGGAGCTTTGGACAACGCATTATCAAATGAGGGTCAGCACCGGTGCCCTCAACTACATTGCGCCCTGCATTGGCTACGCCATCGGGGCTCAGATCTGTGCTTTTCTGACCGACCGGGTGTATCGGTATCAAGTAGCCAAGAACAATGGCGTGGGAAAGCCTGAGTTCCGGCTGCCGATTATGGTGCCAGCTTCGTTGCTGGTTCCTCTTGGATTGCTGATTTACGGCTGGAGTGCAGAGTACCACACTCATTGGATTGTGCCAGATATTGGTATTGCCCTCCCACTCATGGGGGCTACTATCATCTTCCAGTGTTGCAGTCAGTATCTGCTAGATACATTCCCTGTTTATGCTGCCAGTGCCAATGGTGCTGTTTATATTGTGCGAGGATTGACAGGCTTTGGATTCCCGCTATTCAGCCCGGCAATGTATGAGACACTTGGGTATGGATGGGGGAACAGCCTGTTGGCATTGTTGGCTTTGGTGATTGGATGTCCTATTCCTTTTATCTTGTGGAAGTATGGAGAGAGACTGAGGGCTGTGAGCAATTTCGCAGATCAAACCAAATAGTTAAGTAGTTTGATAATCGGTGTAAAGTGGATTTTAATAGAATTTGGCTTGATGTTCACTATAAAAAAGACCTTCATAAATACTCTCTATATACCCTCATTCATCTTCATTCATCCGCACAATCTCCCTCATCATATCATAGCACACCCTTTCACCAACATAACTATCCTGTCGATAATCCTCATGCGAGCGAACAAAATCCCTCATCCAAGTCGCCGGTGTAGGATTCTCACCACTTGCCCTTTCACTAATCAACTCCAAATACGGAGCAATCTTCTCCTGCTCCGCCGCCGCCATCTTACTTTGCTTCAAGTAATAGCGCACAATAGCAACCAACCCAGGGAACCCATTTTCCTCAGATTCACCATTAAAGATCTCATCAGCAGACATGAGGGCAAATTCCTCCCCCTCACCATTCAACCGCTTATGAACCTTCTCCTTACACATCGACTTCACTCCCCTAACTGAATGAGAACCCACCAACCACCCAGACCTCTTGAACCACATCTTCCTACCACGAACCGCATCCCGCTCCTTTGCAAACTCCATCGACTCACCCACCTTGTCAATGGGGATATAGAAATTCAAATGCATAGTGACAATAGCTCTGGAGAGCAGATACGCAAATATAGCAAATGCCGCATTTGCCTTGTCTGTGAGCTGGGACTCCATTGTTCGGAACTCAACACACCACCCAGGTCCAGTGTCCGTGGTTGGGAGCTTGAAGCGGACAGCATGCCAGACACAGCTCTGGAGGAGCTCAAAGAGCTTAGTGTTTGACGTGTTGAGGCTGTGCGTGTCTTCTTCTGTTAGGATGAGCGGGTCGCGCGAGAGGATGGAGGCAAAGTGCGTCGCTAGGGAGTCATCCATGCCACCATCTAGCAGACGTTGTTTAATTGCCGGGTTCATCGGTTGGAGTGGTGAGTCGTTCTCAAGGCCGGGGGGCTTTTCTTCGGAGAGGTAAGTGCGGTTCCAGGTCCAGCGTGGGGGCTGTAGGGGTCATGTTAGTTGGTGTTTTATGTTTTCTGCTTAGAGGGCTTGACATACAATGGTTTCCATCTCTTCTGGTCGACGGTCGTCTACTAAATCTCCGAATCGCTGCCACCTGATATCTGTGTCGACCAGGTATCCCTTCCAGATTGGGACTGCGGCGGTCATAGCGAGGAAGATCGGTGCGAGAGGGATGAGCTGGTCGTGTAGCCATCGGGCTTCTGTTTCGTTTGGTGCTTGGAAGGTTGTTTGCAGACTGCAGCAGCCAATTCCGACCTCGAGGTCATCCAAGCAGAGGTGATTTTTGATTTTCTCTCCCGAGGGTAAGATATCGTAGAAGATATCCGGTGTCTCGATGTCTTGGTAGACTGGGTAAAGTGTTTTCTTGTGACTCTGTCTGCGGCCGAAGACATTCTCAGGGAGAATTCTATACCGCGGAATAGAGCATACTGAGTGGTTTGTCTGGGTTCGACCTTGAGGAGTTGTCCATTGACCATCCGCTCCAGCACGGGGGAAGAAGGACAGTGACATTGTGTGCTGGTTTGGTGAAAGAGAACGATTGATGACTTGTCGTCTGTTTGTGGTTAGCTGCTAGTTCTCGAACGACTGGGAACTACATACCTTCTCTTCATATTTTGCTGGACACTCAGGAGATCCTCGATGCTCTCCGTGTATGGCTTGGCGGGAGTGGTCTCGACCACATACTTTGCCCATTCCCATTGAAGAACAACCCTGTTTGGTGTTAGATAAAGCTATTTTCATGATTGGGATATACTGACGGTTCTTCCTTGCTAGCCGGGTTGTCTTCCCATTGTCGAATCACCTTCTCCTGATCTAATAGCAATGTCGCCCGTTCAGAGCTTGAGTTCAGATCAACCAGATTGTATTCAATCTTTGCATTGGATTAGCATATTTCTTTCTTCATGGTCTAGGCCCATACATACCTCATCACCCCACGAAGGAACATTGTCCCTACGATATCGCTGTTTACGCCAAAGGCAAAGCAATTGCTGCAGCGCATTAGCAGCGAAGGATCTGTAAAAACGAAAAAAAAACAAACCTCAGTCGCCCATCTCTGAACATTTGGTGCAGCCTGTTCAGTCTCTGGCCAGCCTATCGATGGTCCTTCCACGCTATGCAAGGTTAGAAATCGCGAGTATGTGAAATTATGAGTGCATATACATACGGTAAGCCCATATTTGACACGATTTGGAGTTAAAGATAGGAAATTCCAAAGTAAATGTTGATAATGTGCTGGAACTACGGTGTACAAGAGACATAAAGTTATTTATAGCCAATATAATTTTGACCAGGCTATAACGTCATTTTCAAGGGTGTTTTGCCGATCTACAGATTTGCCGGGCGATCACCCGCGTAAGTCCGTGGAATGCTTTTGGCTGTTCTTTATTCAATGCCACATATGCTTCACGCTCAGGGAAACATGCTTGGCAGAGTCTGCCCTAACCTTGACATGACGACCCTATATGACGTGCGCGCTGCAGGGATGCAAGGGATAGATCGGCATTTTTCTTCAGGTAATTGCCAGACCCCGGTGACGAACGGTGAATATATAATTATGCTGGTAAATGGGACTCTGGGGACGATGGGGTCTGTAAACTAGGCCAGAACGCATGTTTAGTGCCAGGGAATTAGAATGAGCCATCACAACAACAATCGTGGAAAAAGAAGGGGATCCCAAGTTACACAATATTGGCCCTACGAATCTATAATTGAATGAGCATCTACATGCTTCGCACTTCTGTACCCACTTTCTGCAAGCTTGCGATGTATCAGGTACAGGGTCGCGTAATCCATATTCGTAAGCCTTCAGACTTCAATAGCTGAACCTCATTCCTCCTTGCGGTGTGACAATTGTGCTGAGCCTATCAACCTCTACGGAGTGAATGCGTGGGCTGCATCGGATATCAAATCGTAGGGTTAAGTATCTTTTGTATAGCGCCTTCATACACAGAATACATAAGCACAACATACGCATAATTCCAAATTTTCATGCTTCTTAACTCTCAAATTAGCTTGAGGGAAAAGCACGGGATTTAACAAATCCTTTTTATAGATTCTCTAAATATATTTCTTTACTACTTTTAATTCTTCAAGGGAGAGTTTATAGAGTAAATAATATCCTAGCTATACTTCAAATTCAAGGGTAATATTACAAGTCCTGTTCAATTGAGCTACTACTGAGATGAATTTTAAATATGTGATATAGAAGTGTAAAGAGCACCTTGAAAAGCACTATATATATTGTATGTAAAAGTTTGACGACTCGCATACTTCAGAGATGATAACTGTTATTCAAGCTGATAAAACTAATTCTACAATTTGCTATCTTTTACAGCCCATTAACATATACCGTGTCTTGACGGGCTCGCTCAAATTTTCAAAAGTTTGAAAATATTACTCTGATCCATAATGGCTTCAATATAACCAATCGATGCCGTTAACTCGGAGGATTTGACAAAGGACCGGTTAGCAGATAGTGCGACTTATTCCATCGAGAAACAATCCATCAATCCATCAATCCCTAATGTGTCTCATTTATTCTATTCAATCCATCAATAATGTTGCGCCATTTCTCCGAGAACCTCGATAGTTTCTTGGCATCGAGGACCGAGAGGTTAGGGCTTGGCAGTTGACCATAAGGATTTACTGGATATACTTTCCACGCACTCGTTTTTTAATTCTCTAATTCCGAGAAAATGTTGCGTGAGATATTCTTTTTATTTACATGCATGGCATGTGTGGAATTGGCCATTCATTTCCCATGGATTAAGGTCAGATCAATATCCCGGAACGGTATCCGCTTAGAACTGACATTCTGTAGGACATCTCTCACAGCGTTGAAGCCGAAACTGGTACATTTAATTATCCAGTGCCATTGTCTACACACAATGAAGAACACGCGCGTTTACTGCAAAATCTGGAGCGAGCTAATGGGAAATGGAACTCCGTCCATCCTCGACATCGATTGTTAACTGCCCTGCATGGGTATACTGCGTACAAAGACAAAAGCCTAGCTGAGGTTAATCGATGGAGAAATCTTTATAAAAATGTCCCCAAGCAGCAGCGAAAGGTATGTCCTTTCTTTCTTTTTGCGGGTGTTGAGCAGGTTTAACTGACTAGCTAAGTTGCTCGAATCAACCGTCCACTACACGCGTAAACTCAACACAGCGGAACATCTGTTCGAGACAAACAGCGAAATCACCAGATCTATTGTTGATTACGGTCTTTCGTTCTACAATATTAGTCAGTCTGAGCTGGACGAATTCATCCAAGAAAGTGAAACCCAGCAGCGGTCCGTTGATAGGACTAGCGTCTCTCAGGGAATGAAGCATTTTGTGCGTGATTGGGCAGATGAGGGCGATGAAGAACGTCAACAATCCTTTGGATGTATTTTAAAATCGCTTGCCCAGACGCCACGAGCGAAAGATAAACCCTTGCGAGTGTTATTGCCCGGGTCAGGATTGGGAAGACTAGCGCATGAGGTCGATAATCTTGGAGGTGAGTACAAAATTTCCTATCTGGGTTTCATTGGTTGATTGGAGGTATCAGGTTTCGATGTCACTATGAATGAATGGTCAACATACATGAATCTAGCATACCGTTATGTATCCAGTCTCTCTGCCCCCAACAGTGTACCATTTCACCCGTACATTGACTGGTGGTCTCACCACGTCACGACGGATGATCTCCAGCGCTCCATTACATTCCCGAACCAAGTTATACGCCCATCATCTGTCTTACTGATTGAGGGAGATTTCACCACGGTATTCACAGAACACACAGGCCAATACGATATAATCGTGACCTTGTTTTTCATCGATACTGCGCGGAATCTAGTCTCATATCTTGAGACTATACACAGACTCCTTCGCCCTGGTGGCCGTTGGGTAAATCTAGGTCCTTTATTGTATGGCACTGCGCCATTTGTGCAGTTATCACTGGACGAGATTGTGGCGTTGAGTGTTACTATGGGATTTGAGTTCCAGGAGACAGATCCTGCAATTGGAAATCTCACATTGCCTGACTTAAAAGTGCGAGGGTTGGAGGTAGCATATGGTCGAAATGAGCGGGGGTTGAATAAGAATGCATATCAGGCGCAGTATTGGGAGGCTGTTAAGCGCTAGAATAGAGAAATCCATATAATATTTTGTTGCCTTCTACTAAAAAGAAAAATAGCTGTTTATTACTGAAATATCATCTGAATGTAACTCTGCATTGGAGACATGAGACGGAATAGGGCTACGAGTAATACGAGTCACCTGCTGAGCCAATACAATATAATACCCACCTAATTTAACCATATGGAGAAGAATTCATTTTTCCTGGGGCTGAAATTTCCACAAGGTCAGAGTTATGCCCTCGGAGAATAAAATATCAACCCTAGCAAGTTGGGATCGGCAGGGACAAGTCCGGTCTAACCTCGAAATTGACCTAAGACGGCCAAGATATACAACATATCCAAAAAGCAAAGGGCTCAGTGAAAAGGATTTTATCCACAAATGACCAATGGAAAGCCAAAACATAATTTGCCCAATACGATGAGACATAACCCGCCGCCAAGCTGAGAACCTTTGGGGCACCAAGACTTCCACTTTTCTTGGCCCCGAAACCTACTGCCCGGAGTGGGAGGTATAAAGCTGCGGACCCTGTGCGACAGATCTCGGATTTTGAATCATTTTCCATTGCACAGTCCCCTCGCCAAAATGAGATTCTCCGTTTATGTCATTGCTCTCATGACTTCGGTCTCATCCGGGGTCTTGGCCCAGGATCCAGGTCCATCTCCTACTGCTTCAGTTGGCTGTGAGCCACACGGAGACCATTGGTTTGTTCTATCATGATATATCTAATATTCGGTGATTAATAATATCTATACAGGCACTGTGATGGCCCGGCATCAACAGGTGTGTCAGTTACATCAACGGCAAGCGAGGTCGAAGCGAGTACCACTGCCCATGTTACTCCTACAGCCCCTAGCCCTACCGAGTCTGTTGGTTGCGAGCCGCATGGTGATCACTGGCACTGTGATGGACCGGCTGAGACGGCTAGTGCTTCTGCGAGCGGCTCCGCCAGTGCCTCGGCTAGTGCTTCTACGAGTTCCAAAGATGCGGGAAGTGGCGCTGGTGCCATTGGTGTGCAGATGTTCATGCTGGTTGGATTGTCTCTTGTCGCTGCTGGTGTGAATGTTTAATTATCGTTGATCTTGGAGATATGTGTATGTGTGTGCGTGTGTCATTATATCAAGCCGACGGTCTCAAACTACAGTAATCTTATGCTGGACTGTACATTCCATTTAAATTGAAGAAGATGTTTGACTTCAGTTTCGTGATTTGAAGAAGCCTTGCACTTGGAGTTGCTAGTGGAACTATGTATAAATTCACCCTAGTCAAAAGGTATTGGGGGTACTGCTTAATCTCGTATATCTAAACATCAAACAGAGTTCAGATGACTCAAGATATCTTGATGTTGGAATGGGTAAGAACTGGCCAGTAGAGGATCTCTAGGTGCTTAATTTCATCTCATCTCTTCCATAGGGTACTATGTACATTATGTATCCACCGACATGTACGTATGTTGTCTCTTGCACAGTCTGCTTAGCCGGGTTTTTGTAACTGGTAGATCTTAGAAAGTACCTGAATGCACTCTGGTTCTTAAGGATTTGTTAAGGCAAGGTTATATGTCGACCATCAAGACTGACACACCATTTTGAGAGAATATAGGCCAGTATTCTTCCAGGTTGATCCATTATGTGTGGTCATGGTGTCAGGATGTTTGTGATTTATAAGAAGTGACCTTACGACCTTAAGCTATGTACAACTTACATCCATACGACAGCGACATTAGCTGATCGGTTATACATAGGTGATACAAAAACAGCATAAATGGAGTAAAGCAATGTCACAACCTTGGACCAGGACCCAAAGGTTAGTCACTACTATCAAAGGAATTACTATGGAGTTATAAAAGCAGAGTCCGATGGAAGTCCAATGATTTCGTTTTATTTGTGACGTAGAATATTGAATACAGAACGAGTGTGGGAAGAGCCAGGATGGGTATGTATAGCCAATTCGAGAGGAATGCAGACGACATTGAAGAAAAGGAAATGCGGACTCTCTCTCAGAAGAAAAAGGACAGTCGAGAGGAACGGAATGGGATTAACCTTGATGTCCCAGCTCTAGATCCTATCCTAATTCAGCATAGAGGATCAAAAATTGAAAGTTGGTTTGGCTTGTAAAAAAAAAAGAGAGCTTCGTGAGTAGTGGGTTACATTTAACAAAGACCAAGACAGAACAGGGGAGGGAATAAATCCTTCATTGCACGCTGCAAGAGGGGAAGAGGTAGAAAGATCCAGGTACAGTAGAGGCAGAGTAGAGGTAACAGCAACAGACTCTCTATTCCTGTCCAAAGCCAAGCGTTTCCTCCACCGCGATAGACATTTTGTGCTCGAGGGCCTCGTGCGTCTTGTATGGAGGCAGATCAAGACGGTTGAAACTGGAAAAAAAAGGTTAACTATGATACACCGGATACAAGAACTAGCATTGAATACATACCAAGTATGCGATTTAGGTAGCGCGGAAGGATCACCAGACTTCTCAATAGTGAACCGTCTGGGACCATCAGATCCCTGCAGATCCTTAAATCCATTGACGGGGATGCGCGAGGTACCAGTAGTGAACTGGAGAAGACGAGACTTCTGCTCGGCATCCCAGGTGCGCACGATCTTCCAGAAGTTCTGGATGACCTCGTCCTGTTCCTGGTAGCCGCGGTAGTCGGTGTGCTTCTTCCAGTCTTCTACATCGATGTCGGCGATACCACCAATGAGCAACTCGAGTTCACGCTCGTCAAAGACGTTGACGAGATCGGGGGGAATAAGCTCGTTGAATCCAGACATGAAGGCATCGAACTGCTCCTCGACTCGCTTCATGATTTTCCATTCCGTAACCAATCTGCGATGTGGTTAGTAGAGCTTCATCAGGCTGAAGGCTGGAGTGGTTCCACTCACTCAATGTACTGTGGTTTGTTCTCGTTGGTGACGGGAATATCCCGGCCACCGGGTATCAAATCAATAGTGCGACGCTCGCCAAACTTCTCATCGTCAACCGAAAATGTGAGTTCCACAATTCCGTCAATGTCATTATCCCTGCCTTGGTGTTAGCGCGATTATTTCTCAAAATGACATTGCATATATTAAACTTACAGTGTCCATGCCAAATTTCGGTGCAGATCCTCATCCACTCCTTCCATATCTTGAAGACTGACCTTTTTCCGCAACATCATCTTGTAGAAAGCTCCAATGAAGAAGGAATCCAGGAAGCGACGGTGGAAGATAGCCAGACCAACCACTCGGCCGATGAACTTGAAGTAATTGAGGTGTTCGGGGTTCACGCCCGAGTGGGGATTAATCTGCAAGGTATAATTATCGTGGGCCGAATATTCGAAGAGACAGTAGAAAGGATTGAACATTTCGTGAGAGAGGAGGAAGAAGAATTCACTAAAAGAGTCAGTAAGTTTTGATCAACACCGGAGAAAGGAAGAGCAGAACATACCGTGAGAGACCACCGTAATCAAGACCATCTTCGCCATCGAACTTGATCATTAGTCGCTTCTTAAGATCGGACGCGCTCTGGCGCATAATCTCGGCATATGAATCCTCGAAGATATTATTACGACGGACTTTAACGTGACACTGTCCGGACATGATGCGCAACGCAGGTTGGGATCGGAAGTAGATCAGTTTGCGTCGGAAGTCACGCTTATACTGGGGTACGCCCTGATCCAGAGAGGACGGGAGTCGTGGATCATCCCATGTAGTTGTCTTGGTGTTGTGATCGACGAAATATACTCGAGCAGTGTTGGTAAGACGCATTTCCCAACCACTTGGGAGAGGGCCCAATTGGGATACGGGCTGCTGCTGAATGGTGGTATTGTTCGCGCCACCTGTGGTCTGTCCCTGACCATACATGCGGATGTACTGCTGCCGACGAGGATCGACCCATGTCGTCGTGCGCGTGTTGTGGTCCACAAAGTAGGGCCGTCCCTCGGGCGTCACTCGTCGTTCCCAGCCTGGCGGAAGCTCCCCTGTGCCTGCAGTGGTGGCTCCCGTTGCCATCATGGAGATCGCGGCGGCGTTCGACCCGGCCGGGGCTCCAGTTGCGAGAGAGGTTCCTGCGTTAGGCCCAGGCGGCGGTGTCGGTATCTGCTGGGCATCTGGCAGGTTGGGTGAATTGGCGCCAGTTCGATCTTCTGGAAGCATTCGGCTCTGGTGGGCCCGACGTTCGAGCTGCATATTGGCTTCGCGCTGCGAACGCTGGGTATGCTCATTGTAGTTGGCTGCTGGCCGTGACCATGTGGTGGTGCGCGTATTATGGTCCACATAATATGTCCGTCCCAAGTTGTCTTCACGCCGTTCATATCCTGCGGGGAGTCGACCCTGACTGTCTTCAAACGAGCTGAGATTGGCGCGAGAGGGGGCACCAGGTCCAGGGGGGTTGGTTGGGGCGCCGTTCAACGGGGGAGGAGCGCCGGCCGGTGGAGCTGTAGTTGAAGTGCGCTGGCTCAATGATGAACTTGATACTGCGGCAGGAGCTGTATCCAGAGTACTCGGGCCAGCTTGTGTTTGGGGTGTTGGTGCTGCAACCTGAGGCACAAGGCCGCTGGAAGTCGATGTCTGGGCCTGTTGACGTTGGAGTCCGTTCTGGTTCGGATGGGGAGTGGTGAGATTTGACGATAGGTTGATGATCAATTTTCCGTGGACCACGAGGTTATCATTGGATTTTTTCAGATCCCGAGTAAGCATTTCTGTGGGGGGCACATGGCCGTCAGCTCAGTCCACGTTCCTACTCGCGATCGGCGTTCTTCGGACATACCATCACCACCCATCGACAAATCAATGACATCTCCGATGCGAACATTGATGACTCCGAGGAAACCCTGGTCCTTCTTCTTGAATTTCTTCTGATCGAAAATCTGGATCGCAAGAATGCTGTCCTCGTTGACTCTCCTATACAAATGGTTAACGAGGTTCACACTTTTCTCCCCTAACAGCGGAGGGGTATCACAGCACGGCATCACGGTATCACGTACAAATCGAACGGCTCATTCCAATAGGGATTCAGAGTCTTCTTTATTACAGAAGTTGTATGCGTTTGTTCTCCTCCAACAGTAGCCACGGCGAATGGATCGGGGAATCCTAGAAATGGTCAGCTTCGACCCCGCAGCATCCGATCTGGAGATAACATACGGAAGACATCGCGTTTGTACAGACCATCGGCGGCGATAACTATGAAGAAAAGGTTAGTCTTGTATGGCTGGAACCCCGCAGAGTTCAAAGTCGATTCGAAAAGTCTTACTCGTAACCCGAAGATTTGGCTGGCTGCAATTCATATTAGCGATCTGAACCAAATCGGAGTGAGAGTTTCAACTTACGCTGGGAGATTTGACGCCATGATTTACAAGCGCCGATCAAACAGCGCGGGCGCGCACATTCACGAGGAGGAGAAGGACCAAACCGAGTTCACCCAGGTCAAAGCCTGGAAAGAGTGGATAGGTTGGTTGATTTGCAGGTTTGGGGGTGGTGGAAGAGGAGAAGAGAGAAAGGAAGGGTTAGGCGGGTTTGGGGGGGGTCGGACTACGTATTTCACTATGTACGAGATACCCGGTCACTACTTCCTGGGGCTGAGTAAAGAATTTATTAATTTGTGTATTTCATTTTTAACCTATAAATATATCATCTATCTATAATAAATTCATTCCATTTTTTTTCACCTGGGTCAAGTTTCTCTACGTAATAGACGGGTGTGGGCGGAGTGGCAATTTGATATTAAGAGGGAAATATAGCTGTTAAAGCCATTTTTTTAGGCAACCATATAGAATCTATATATTTTATATATTCTATATGATAGATATAAAAGATATATCTTTCAAAATAGCTAGTTCTTAAATCTTATTTTTCTTGCTAATTCTCTGCCCGGAAATTATTGTACACAGATCCCACAACTCCAAAGCCACAGAGAAAACGAGATCATTTCAGCTTAGAATAGACACCAGACCCGGGATTTCCAGCAAATAACACACTTAGTAGGGTGAGAAACCACGTCCACGTCCACGGAAGCTAGCACCACCTCGATATCCACCACGGGGGAAGCCACGACCACGACCGCGGCCAAAGCCAAACCCACGGCCACGGCCACG